GGCCGGAGAGCGGCCGGGCGGGCAGCGACGGGGGCTATAGGGGCCATAGGGGGCTGACAGCGGGGATGTAGGGAGTGATGGAGACCTATAGCGGCCATAGGGGGCTGACAGCGGAGATGTAGGGAGTGATGGGGACCTATAACGGCCATAGGGAGCTGACAGCGGGGATGTAGGGAGTGATGGAGACCTATAGAGGCTATAGAGGGCTGACAGCAGGGATATAGGGAGTGACGGGGACCTATAACGGCCATAGAGGGCTGGCAGCAGAGATGTAGGGAGCCACGGGGACCTATAGGGGCCATAGAGGGCTGACAGCGGGGATGTAGGGAGTGATGGAGACCTATAGAGGCTATAGAGGGCTGACAGCAGGGATATAGGGAGGGACGGGGACCTATAACGGCCATAGGGGGCTGACAGCGGAGATGTAGGGAGTGATGGAGACCTATAGAGGCTATAGAGGGCTGACAGCAGGGATATAGGGAGGGACGGGGACCTATAACGGCCATAGGGGGCTGACAGCGGAGATGTAGGGAGTGATGGAGACCTATAGAGGCTATAGAGGGCTGACAGCAGGGATATAGGGAGGGACGGGGACCTATAACGGCCATAGGGGGCTGACAGCGGAGATGTAGGGAGTGATGGGGACCTATAGGCGCCATAGGGGGCTGACAGTGGGGATGTAGGGAGCGATAGGGACCTATAGGGGCCATAGCGGGCTGACAGCGGGGATGTGGGGAGCCACGGGGACCTATAGGGGCCATAGGGACTGTACACTGGTGGTGTGGGAGTGACAGGAGCCTCTGAGGGCCATAGGACCCTGACACCAAGGATGCTGCTGGCAGCTGGGCTGGCCTATAGGGGCTATAGGGGCCTGGTGAGGGGTTGCTGGCAATAAGAGATGCCCGTAGGGACCATAGTGGCCTGAGCAGAGGTGCTGGGAGTCTATAGGGGCCAAGGCCGGAGCGCTGCCTCCTCTCGCCTGGTTTTGACGCTAGATGGTGGTATCTCCATGGAGCCGCCGCTCCGCGCGGGAAGCTCCGCATCCCGGCCGGCTCTTCGGAGCTGCCTCCTGCACCGCGTGGAGGACGTGGGCGGTTTGGGTTGGGTCCAGGGGCAAAATGACCCTCCTTTGGGTCTCGGGGGATGTTATTTTGAACATTGGCCACCTTAAAAGGGGGTAACTCGGGTTGTGGAAGCCCAAATACCACCCAAATGCCTCCGTGTTGGGGCACTGATGAATCCCCAGAGAAAAGCAGGGGGAAACCGAGTCACGAAAAGGCACCTGCCCTCCCCAGCACAGGGTTAAGGACAGAGCCAAACTGCCACCAGGCCGTCCTCAGCCTCCAAAATAACCCCTTGGCTTTTCAGGCCCTGCTCGACACCCTCGGCCGCCTCGGATCCGCTGCTGCTTTATTTCCTGTGTCGGCGCCATGCGGAGGTTGCGCTATTAACATAAAAACCGAAGGGAAATTCCCTGCCCCAGAGTTTTCTTTCGCTGAACTCTCGCAGTTGCGACTCGCCAGCCCCGCTGTTGCAGAGCAGCCGATCGGCCCAGGGAAGCAGAATCCCCTGCCAGAGTGAGTTTTTTCCCTTTGGAAAACTGAGCCCATAGGGATCTTTGGGTTGCTGTCTGGGACAAAGTGGGGATGTTTTTCCTTTATTTCTTTTTGCCACATTAAGCCGGTTCTGAGCCCTTGGAGCTGAGGGATTTGTGACAACATGGCTGAAAGCAGGTCCTGCCCCGTGTCACCAGCGCTGGCCTGAGACGGCTCGGAGAAACCCCAGCATCCCA